AATTAAAAAGAAAAATCTATGTACCACAGGAAATTTCATGTGTTAGCTTCTGGTTTCATGCTCTACCTGGAGTGTGCTGTACCTTTCAACCAGTTGCATATTGTAGTTTGGATTTTAATGAAGTATATCCTGTTACTTATCAAAAAAAGAAATGCTGATTTTTTAATCCACCTTACCAATAGAAGGCCTAAGTTGTTCGATTGATTTTCTGCTCACAAGCAATCAAGTATTAGTCTATGGCTACTATATACAAATTAGACTTGCATCAATGTACCTAGGGGTAGATTTGAGCCGAGCCAAGCAGAATATCTGGCTATGTGAGCTTGGCTCAGTAGAAAAACATGAGGTTCAAGTTTGAGCTGGAGACCTGAGCTCGAATTCGGCTCGACTCAGAAGTTCATTATGTTTGAGATTGACAGTGAGCCAATCTTCAAATAAAAATAAAAAAAAATTATGTACATCAGTACATGCAAGGTTCAAAATATTGATACACCCTGATACTGCAGAAGAGGTATATCAGTACTTTGAACCTAATGCCTTGTATTTTTTTTTTTTTAATTTTTTCAAAATTAGGGATGGGTGAAAATGATGTTAATTAATGTTTAAAACATTTTCTTTAAAAAACTTAAAACACCATATCAATGACCGGCCAATACAGTCCAATATGTTGCGAAATTTTGATCCTTGTGTACATGTAAAAAAATTATATATAATTATGCATATAAAAATTAAAAATTATATATAATAAAATCTCAAGTAGGCTTGCAAGATTCACGAGCCGAGCTTCATTGTTCTCGATCTTGTCTTGAAGCTCGGTTTAGGCAGAGCTAAATTGAGCTTTTCATGAGCCGAGCTTGAATTTTCTTAGAATATTCAGCTATTGCTTCTATACTTTTTTTTCATCAACAACAAAGATTATGAATTTCATTAATTAAGAAACACAAACAAGTAGAAAAAGAGGTTGTGAATTTACAATTCAAAGATATTTTGTGACCATAATCTCTACAATCTCACCCCCACCACATACAATTTTTTTGAGCCCAAAATAACTGTTGCCTACTAGCCCCTTTTTTTGTACCAATTGTATTTCAAGCTGCATATCTCTTGAAAACCATCTAAAGTGTCTGATTTCATTTTTGTAGATCCAAACATCTCTACTACCCTTCATTAACCAACTGATAGCCACTTTGGAGTCACCTGCAATAATCAATCTTTCAGCTCCCATTTCCTTGTCTTTTTGCACCCTAAAAACTGCTGCCATAAGTTCTGCCCCAATTAAATATCCTTCACCTATTGGAGTCGGCTGTAGAGGGGTAGTATAGGCAGTTTATATTAAGTTATATGTTGGATGTAATTACAAGTAGATCTTAAGTTAGCTGATGTGTCTCTCACTTAAGTGAGGGCATAACAGTAATTCTGATTTGTTTAGAAAGGTATAAATAAAGCCTGGTCGACTAGAGAGTTAATTCTTTCTTCTCTAGTTCGACCAGAACAGTTTTCTCTTCTCTTCTCCCTACTGTTTCTACAGTTTCTTCTTATTCCTATTATTTGGAATTATAAGAACACTATACCTGAATTCTATCATGGTATCAGAGTCACGATAGCTAGTTCAGATTAATCTTTTCTTTCTCCCTCTATTCAGCACATACTTTCCTAGCGTTTTGCAGATTTCTCATTGGTAGATAGGAGTTTCACAGAAGGGCTAAAACGGACTGATCGTTTTCTTGTTCTGGAGGTTTTCATGCTTCTAATGGGTAGAGTTGTTGCTGTTGTGTGTGGTTGGTAGAAAACTCTCTACTCGGCAGTTCGAAGAGGGCTGGTTCCAGGTGTGAAGTTGAGTGACAGTGCAAGTTTGTCTTGTGGGGGCTCAGATAGGTAGATTACATGGGTGTAGAAGTGAGGAACAGATTGTGATGTGTTGCAGAACCAAATTCCCTGTTTGTGAGGTGTACTGTCATGGATTATGGTGCTGAAAGTGGAAGACAGCAATGGTGTTGTTGCTGAAAGTGGGGAACAATGGTGAGTGTTGTTGCTGAAACCTATGATAGTAGGTACCCTAGTAATAATCAGTCATTGGTGTGTAGTGTAGTGACTAATTAGTGAAGTGGAGTGACAAACTAGTGGTAGAATTTCTTTCTTTTCCTTGTGCAGTCAATGGAGACAGCAGTGAATGAAAGTGTAGTGTGATGGTCCCTTCTGATTATCTGAATGTGCAGATGACATCTATCAAACTGAATGGTGAGAATTATGTGCCTTGGGCCAAATTTGTTGAAGTTTTTCTGAAAGCTAAGAAGAAAGTGAAGCATGTGAGGGAATATAAACCCCCAACTGATTCTCAAGGATATGATGAGTGGGAGCAAGATGATGCACAAATTATGACATGGCTATGGAATAGTATGGAACCCAAAATCAAAGTGAACTTCATGTTTTTAGATACAACCAAGGAGGCTTGGGATCATGCAAAGAAGCTTTATTCTGGACAAGACAACACTACTAGAGTTTACCAATTGTACCAAGAGTATTTCAATCTGCAACAGGGGAATCAAAGTCTTGAGGACTATTATGCTAGTATGAGAAATCTGCGAAATGAGTTCAATGTGTATCATCCTCTTACACCTGATGTCAAAATTCAACAATAACAGAGAGAACAGTTGGATGTGACCAGATTTTTAGTAGGGTTGAAGTCTGAATAGGAACCAGTAAGAGCATAGATACTAGGTGGTCTGCTCTTCCCTCTCTTGAGGAAGTGTTTGCCCGTCTCCGGAGGATCTCAGTTGGACCCACAAAGAACTCCACTATATTAGATAGGTCTGCATTTGCAGTAACGAGAGGGGGAGGCCGTGGAGTTAGAGGAGCTTGTGAAGGTCAGCCTAGTCGTGGTGGTGGTCGTGTTGGAGGTAGAAACTCAGGGGGAGCCCGTGGTGGAGGACGTAGTAATGGTCAGAGGAGGTGTATACATTGTGGTATGGAGGGACATACTATCAACTTTTGCTATGATCTACATGGCCCACCTTCGACCTGGGTAAATCAGGCAGTTGTAACTGGTGGTGGTTTAAGACAACAATATCATCAAACTGATCAAATACCTTCAACATCTACAAATGCCTCTAGAAAGGAGATGATGAGTGTTCCACGAGATGAGTATGAGCGGTTCATTCAGGGTACATCTCAGCAGAACACGACTACCCTTGCACACTTAGGTATGGCTTGTCTGGCATCCAAACCTTCCCATTGGATTATCGATTCTGGAGCTTCCGATCATATTACTGAGACTCCAGGTGTGTTTTCATCCCTTTCCCTGTCCTCCACATAGAGATGTAGATCGGGCCGTGCTACCCGCAGCCCGGCACAATCATGCAGGCCGTGCTGGGCCTGGGGTTTTAGGTCCGCGGGCTGGCATGGCATGGCACGACCAAGTGGACCGGCACAGCCCGGCCTAACACGGCCCATATATATATGTACATATATATATATGTATACGTATATGTATATGTATACGTATATGTATATGTATATGTATATATATTATATATATTTATATATATTTTATA